AATGTAGTAACACTTAATCGTTCCCGAGGTCTGCTTCGAACGCGCTCTGAAGCATTTTTAACTACATCCCGAATAGTAGAAATCAACTTTTCGTATCTGCTGTGGACATTTCCCTGTTCTGAAGAAAAGTTTGTCGTGGAAGCGAGCGCTTTTAGTCGTTCTTCAGAGAGCACATATTGAGTACGTCGCGAATGGTATGCAGCTAATCGTCTCCTTTCTTCTCTAAGCTTCATTGCTACTGTAGCTCGAACTAAACGGTGGTCCGATCCAATATTAAAATGCGATTCTCCGATCACTGTAACATTGTGAAAGAGGCGCAAGCAGTTGGTTAAGAAGAAGTCGATTTCGTGGAACATCTGCCTGTTCGGGGTATGGTATGTCCAGCGACGTCCTACACGCTTTTGGAAATATGAGTTTGCCACTGATAATCGACTCCGTTCGGTGAATTGTGCTAAAGCCTCTCCTCTGTTGTTTCTTCCTGGTATTCCGTATGGCCCTATATAGGATTCATCAGGTTCTCCGCATCCTAAGTGGGCATTGAAGTCTCCAGCGCATATCACATATGTTCCTTTTGGAGTAGTGGCAATTGCATTTTCGAGTGTGTCGTAGAACTCTTCCACGGCTTCATCTTCATATGCACCAGTGGGGGCATAGACCGACAGTATTTTCATCGTCTTCTTTTTGCCTAGTTCGAGCATTAGAATCGCAATTCTTTCAGACACTACTTCGCAATAGGCAATCCTTGCAGTGAAACGTGGCGATACAATGAATCCGACTCCTCCGACTTTTCCGTTTCTTGAGCCAGCTCCTAAGATCACTTCATGTCCAGTGTGCCATTTCCATCTTCCTGCATTGTATCTTAACGTTTCTTGGACACATGCTACATCAATCGCACACCTGTCCATTTCAGATACTAGCTGATCGATCACATAGTCGTTAACGAGACCTCGAGTGTTTATTGTTCCAATGTTTAGGAAACTGTTTGGCAGATCGCTTTCCGTGAGATTTCTCCCCCTCTGCCTTTGCCCTCTCTGCCAGGAAGGGCGGTGGCCGCACGGGACTGAGGGTACTTCTTCTTGAACTTCACTCATAGATGTTGATGGCCTGGACTTACCCTCACCGCCTAGCCATAACTGGCGGTAGTACCACTGCCGGGTGTGGTACCTGTCCAAGAGGGGCCCGTTTTTAGCCTCACTCAACGCGTCGCTGTTCCGGCAACAACAACGGGAAGTAACATTGAGTGAGTTTACACCATCCCACCACTTTGAGGTAACGGGGCTAGGGATGGATATCCCACATAGTCTTCTTTTATCCTCTCCCTTATCGTTTTACTGAGAGTCCTTATATTCCTCGCTCTGGACTCTTCCTTCGGCCTTCATACGTGCTCTCTTCTGCATCATCTGGACAGCTTCCGCTGACACACGTTGTCTTCTGCCAGGTTCTGCTGCAGTGCTGGAAGCTTTGACAGCAAGAGTTATTTTCTCCACTAGTTCGTCGTAGTCAGCGTCGATGCTTTTCTCAGTGTCCATCCGCAGGTCTGACAATGCTACTAATCAGTGAATGCATCGGCATTGAAAGTGTAGCGTATGAGTGCTCTTTGTGAGTACAGAACTCGTTTCTCTCTTCTTCGATCTATGAGTATCGTCGAACGTACTAGACGATGATCGGAGCCAGTTGCAACCACACTTTCACCTATAACCGAAACGTCAGCAAACATTCTTGGCGTATCTGTCATTACATAGTCGATCTGCCTCAGAATCTTCGTATCCGGGCTTCTCCACGTCCACAGACGTTTTGGCTTCTTCTCGAAAAAAGTGTTCATGATTGAGAAATGGTGTTGCTCCGCAAATTCGACCAGGCGTCTTCCTCTGTCGTTCCGTACGCCTGTGCCGTATTTGCCGACAAGGTTTTCCATACCCAATCGTGCGCCAACAACTGCATTGAAGTCTCCTTGGACAATCGTGTATGTCGATTTGATCTTCAACGCCGCTTCTATTTCCTCGTAGCAACGCTTCAGCTTCTTCATCTTCCGCTGTGCATAAACCTGCACGATTTTGAGCGTTCGTTTCGCCATGCTTTGTATCATGATTTTTCAAAACAGCGACACGTGGGGACAAAAATCGCAGGAAATGATATGCGGAACCATCTTCGGTTTTACGATGAAACCGACTCCACCAGTTCTTGACACGTTGTCGGCACCTTTTCCCAACAGAACTTCTTCGCCACTCGCCCACTTTGCTGAAATTTCTTTTGCTCTCTTTGCAGACACCGACGATATCGCTTCGATCTTTCAAGTGCCGCCAACGTACACATCTAGGAGAGGATCTTTCGATAGGGTCATTTATTCATTGTGTGAGCAATGTTCCGCAATTGATGACATTTGTCCGACTCGCGCCCTCTATCCTGCCCCTTCCTTACACGAGGTGGGTGTTCCTTATGGAGTCGGGGCATCTCCATACTCCCATCTCGGGTCCAAATCTTCTTCTTTTTCTCAAAGTTTTTGCCGATTATTTTGCAGCAGTACATTCGGGTTGGCAGCCCTCTTGTCCTATAGCTGCTGTTTTTGCTCGATTGTTCGCGACAGTGTCTTGACTCGAATCCCTCTTCAAGTCAAGACACCGTCGCTGCAACGCCGCTGTTCAAGTGTCGTATATAATTGCTCCCTGGTATCGTTCGTTTCTGCCGATGTTTCCGATGTTTCTTCCTTGATGGGCGACACTTCTCCCGCTTATGGTGAGAAGATTCTTTACACTGGTTCAGGAACAGCATTCACGGATAACTGAGTTTTGAGCGGTAGTCTTTTGGTTGAAGCCGAAGTTGTCAGAGTAACGAAGTGAGAGATTCCAACGACTCCGTTATTCGGTCTTGTGGCGCTGATGCTGCTCGTTCCAGGAAATCGTAGCCAAATATTGTTGGCGTTAGAATGAGTCCTGATGGAAGGATTATCGTTGGAGCATCATAACAAATCGTTGCGTATTGGTTTAGTATATCTTGTCCTATTATTAGATCAGGTGTGACCTCGGTTGATTCCAGTGTGTGCTGAGCAATTGTGAGGTTCCGTTGACTTATGAAGCACTTATCAGTGCGCGACAGCTCTGCAGTCCAGGTCGGTGCAGTTAGTTTCTCCTTGGTGTGAACTGGTTGTCTTATTATCTTCTTGGAGCTATGAAGACTTTTCAAGGTCACTACAACTTCTTCAGGAGTTGAAAGTTTCTTGGAGCTCTCCCATTCCTATGGTGGTGAACGTCGTAGAGCTGAGAGTGGACAAACATAGTTGGCTCTTCGTCTGCGCTCACGAAGCTTCTTTGGGCTCCTGAATCGAGCAGCACATTGATTGGCTGATAGTCCATTTCAGCTTCATCGAAGATTAGTGCTGATGCAGTCTGTAGCACATGTTGATTGGAAGCTGGTTGATTCGGTCCGGCTGTTGAACTTTCTCGCGGAAGCATGTTGAGCAGAGCTTGACTCCGGGCACTCGGTCGTGGATGGTTATTCTGACTCTGGAGCCTGCTTGGAGCAGTTGTTCATCGAAATGTTGGCCATTGATGGCGCCTGGACGCTAGCGGTTGAAAATGGATGTCCTCGTTGACTTGATGGGTGCGTTTTGCAGTCGAACCGCAGAAAATATGCAAAGTGAAGAATGAGGGTCTTCCTCGCACTTTAGAGGTGGGCGTCTGACTCTGAATGTTGCGTTCTTGTGGAGTCATGGCGCTAATTAACATTTCTTGACAGTTGCTGGCACCACTGCTGACAGACTGGCTGTTGGTGGCTTGAGATGTGGTCAGCAGAGCAGTTTGTTGTAATAATTCCTCTTTCCTGAAGTCGATTCTGGTCAGCCATTGTATGACGGAAATCTCTAGGCCGTTGGATTCAGCCTCCAGATGTTTGTTCAGGTCTAGCATAAGCTTTTCTCGTTCCTTATGCTCTGTTCGTGCATTGATGGTTTCGATGGCTTTGATAACGTAGGAGTCGTGGAACTGCTTTGCTGCGTTGATTGGTTCTGGAGAGACAGTTCAGTTGTGTTGTTTTCTCTCCAATATATGCCTTGCATTCCTCCATTTGTGAAGGGAATGCGAAGGCCTGATCAAGCTTGCTGACTTCCGGCTCATGAGATTTGAGCAGGGCGCAAGCATTTGTGATCTTTGTCTTGAACACTTGAATTTCGGCTGTTTCCGTAGGTTTGTCAACTATTCAGTTTTTATTTTCTTTTTTTGCAATTTAGAGCGTTACAACGGCTTTTCAAGCTTTCGTTGATTCCGCAATAGAATTGCTCCTGCCACGCGGGTCTTTCTTCAATCGGTCTTGGGTTCCTCGTTTAAGGACTCGCGCAAGACTTGATTTTTTCACCTTCTGGTTCCTCAGTCGAGGCTGTCAGAGAAGGTTCTTCTTTCTTTCTTGGGAGAGAACTCGGTTTCCTTGTGGTTTCTCTTGAGAGAACTCCTAACGAAGGATTTGTTCTGCTCTCCGGACTCTAATGAAGAAGTCACTGAGAAAGAGTAGATTCGTTCTTCAGGTTCCTCCGAAGAGGACTCGCAATGAAGAACTTTGTTGTCAATGTAGGCTTCCTTTGGGTTACTCCAAAGAGAACTTGCCCAGAAGGAGTGAAATTTTCTTTTCTGGGTTCCTCCGGAGAGGACTCGCAACAAAGAACGGTAGAAGGTAGGTGGTTTACGTCCTTCGGGTTTCTCCGGAGAGAACTCGCCAAGAAGGAGTAAGGTGTGCTGACTTTTCTGGTTCCTCCTGAGAGGACTCGCGAAGAAAAGCAGGGATTGTAGAGTTATTCCAACGGCCGATGCACCAATTTGGCTGGTTGGCCAAGGGAATACTCAGTCAGAACGTGAAACGTTTATTATTTACACGTCTGACAAACAGAATCGAATAATACAGATCTCAGCGAGCTTATATACAGCGAGTGAGGGCGGTGCTAAGATACAGTGTCGGCAGGCGGCACTGAACAAAGAGGATGAAAAGGGCGCACCGCGCTCAAGGGCTTATCAGAGGCACCTACTTGATTACTCACTCAGGATACCGCGAGGTCACGCCTGCGGTATCATCTTAAGAGTGCTTATCTATGAGCACGCTAAGCTAATATGCCGAACTGGCTCACTATCTTTCAATCCTAGAATATAGTTCTGTTATTGGCACATATGAAAGGTTGTGAATCCACAACAAGGACCAGGCACAAAAGTTCAAGATGTGGGCTACTGAGGGGTGATCGATCTCGGCCAGAGAGGCCCGTCCAAAGCGGGAACCAGAGCGTGGGGTTGCTCACCGGGATGTCTCGAGCGGTTGCAGACCTCGTGAGACGTAAGAGTATCGAGATTTTATGCCTTTAGGAGATGCGCTTGAAAGGAGCGAAGGTCCCAGCAAGATTGGGGAGGTGTCATAATCTTGTACAATACAAGAAAACAAGAGACACCGAACGGAACAACGTGGCCATAGCTGTGGCCCTGGACGAAGCCAAAGATCGGTTTCGGAAAGATTACTACCTCATCATAGCTAGTGATCCGAATGGCCATGTGGGAAGGGACAGAAGGGATCCAGAAAGGAGCACGGAGGCAGAGGAATAGGGGCAGGAACTGATCTATCCACATCCCACGACTTAGCAATCTGCAGCACCTTCTTCGCGAAAAGGAAGACTCAGAAGATAACCTACAGCAGTGGAGGGAGACAAACGGAAATCGACCATGTCCTGGTGAGGAGATTGTCTCTCATAATCGTCAAGGATAGCAGAATATCACCGGATGGAGCTGGTTCCTCAGCAAAGCCTCTTCTTACAATCATCGCCGTAGAATTCTCCAAGAGAGCGATGGTAGGGACCGAGCGAAGAATTCGGTGGTGAGAAATGCACAAGGTAGAAAAGTAGTCTCGGCCGACGAATGCTGGAGGCTGGACTCCCAGATCTACATAGGCCAGTTCAGGAGAACGGACTAACGTAGCCGAGGTTAGTGTACATCACTGTGTGGAGCAGGTCTTAGAAAAGACGCGAGGTGGGATCACAGGAGACAAGGCTGCGCGCTTTTGGGACGAGGGAACCAGGGCATCCTTCAGAGCTCTAGTTGACTCTTAGCATGCGTTAAGTGTGTGGTAAGCCGTTATGGCCTCCAGACGTGAGTGGTCTTCCCCATAAGCTAGTTTCGTGGTTGCCGACGATGACTCTTTGTGCGGGTGCTCAACAGCACTCAGAATGGTGTTCTTCTTCCCGTACGTCTCAGGTGACTCAATTAAATTTCAAGCTGTTATTGTTTGATAACTGCTGTTTAACGCCGCAGTACGCGATACGAAAGCTATCACAAGAATGCTGAGTTATGGGCAAAAGTCGGACCACGGACGGGATTCGAACCCGCATCTTCTGCTTACCGGGCAGTTGCGTTCCCTATTACGCTACTGAGGCCACTTTTGACC